GCGCCGCCTGGGCTCCCGGGGCGGCGGGGCTGAGTCAAAGGAGATTTTCTGGCCGTCTCTGGAGCTTTATCCATCGCCTTTTTCAGTGTAATCGGGGCCGTTTTAGAGTTTCGGGGTGGGGGGGAGGTCCCTGAAGAAGTGGCCAGGCTGAGGCCCAACATGGAGGACGAGGGGGTAGGGGAGGTGGGGGATGGGCTGGGTGCAGTCAAACAATACGTTTATCTTTAGGCTTAAATATTTCACTCCTCCCTTGGCCCTGTCAGCATCCCAGTCCTAATGCTTGCAAACTTCAAGATCAGGTGGCAGCCTTGGGGCTGCTTGTACACTCTGCAGTGGATGTCTTGACTTATATAGAAGGATCCTGGGGGACTCTGGCTACTTGTTTCACTCTTGCAGAACTGCTGCCAGCAAAAAATCTCTCTTTTGCAACTTGCAAATGCTTGCAGTTATGTCTTCTGGTTAACTGCTCCAATCTGAGTTCTTATGATGCTGGGTTCAAGAATATAAGGCATCCTGGTGGTCCTCAGCTTCCTCTGAAACATCCCTGTGCCTCAGAACATCCTGTAAAAAGGAAATTTTTTAACCATGGGTGCAAGTGCAGGTTTTATGTCACTAGTTTCACCATGTGGTCTTGGGTTACACATGACAAAGTAACAGCCTAGTTTTGTTCTGGATGAATCCACACTTGAATGTCATATGCAGTGAACACATGGGGGTTGGAAAAAGGACCATGCTTGTATTGAGATGCCTTTCTCTGAGTAATGTAAACTTCCTTTTAATTGTCATGCATTTTTCTAGTAAAAGCTCTGCAAGTCTGCAATAAAAATGGCCTCCAATAAAACTACATTGGTAAGTTCATGCACACCTAAAATATTTAAGGATTTAACCAACCTATTTTTTTTTCAAAATTATAACTTGGCATCTCCATGTAAAAGATACATCCACATCTCCCCTCCCCAGCATTATTCTGACTAAAATCTCAGATCCAGAAAGTAAGGCTATGAGAAAGGACATTGAGTTTGGCTTTAAAAATCTGCCATCTAATGAGATGCATTAATTTTTTTTTAAAGGAGGACTCTACTCCATTTCAGCTGTCCAGTTGTCAACCAGAATAATAGTTAACCATTACCAGAAAACACTGAATTTTTTTAGCCTCCTTTCAGCACACCATATAATCCATTGCACATGTAAAAATAGCACGTAATTTTTCACTAGGAGTTTGGAACAAACTGCCAAAATCAAGCAATTTCTGAAATTAAATACCAATATAGAAAGGTAAGGTGATGGGGCATAGCTAGGGTTGCCACTGAAATTGTTTAATTGAACAACAAATCACTTGCATTTCATAACTGTGGAGGTTACCAAATGTCTACTTGACCTGGACAGTTTTCATGGTGGAATTGTGTGTTAAATTTACATGAAACTATCAAACGATGGACCACAAACTTGGAATTTAGGGCAAGCGGATGTCTCAGCAGTTCTGATGTCCACTCAGCAAATGACAGGACATGTTTGCAAAGGACAGAAGTGCATAAGCCTAGTGTTAAATATACCCAATAAGGGAAAAAGACAAACAGATCTATGTCCTTTGGAAAAGGAACAATTTTGTCTGTTGTGGGGAAAAATATGCTGTTAAGCTTATTACTACGCAGTTGACTATATTTTAGGTAAACTTGTAAATGCTTGCATCATCTTTTAAGTGCTGTGGTTTACTTACTCTAAGGAGTATTGCAACTGGATTCCAGTCATAATGCTTACAAATACTTAAGCTAAAGTTCTACATTTTCAGGTAGATACCAGTTCCCCAAATCCTTAACTTCAATAATGTGGTGTTAGATCTAAACACTCATTGGAGGGGAAACAGACCCTTTTTTCCTGACACTTGTATATATCTAAACCCCTATTACAATGTTACCTCAATGTTATAATCTTTCACTTTTATACAATGAAAAGGTGAGTGATTATATACTGAAGAAGGTATGTGTGTCTTCTGTGAATTTTGAATGTGAAAAAATTCAGGTTCGCTTTATGTGAATATGCTTAGGTTTTGGTGTAAAATGATGGGACCTAGAAGAGGTCAGATAGTTCTAGAGACATTTCTTCCTGTTGATTTCAAATGTCGCGTGTTTTTGTAGGTTGAGATGTGTATTACAGCATGCAACCACAGAACATGCCGCAATTTGAACTGAATAAGCAATTTTTTTGTGGGCCATATGGTATAAAATACACATTACAGAATTTAAAGAAGGTCAAGAAGAAAAGTTTGAAGATCTGCTTATCTATGGAGACGTACATAAATCTGTTACATCCGATAAAGATTTCCAAATACTTACTTTTATCATGCACTTGCTTCAAGTGTTTTGTTTTAGAAGTCTAGAAGATTTGATTCTTAAATTATAAGAGCAAGAAGAAGAATAATTTTCAGAGAATGGTGGGATGGGGAGATTTAGCCTGAAGAACTTCTTTCAAGAAATTATATGCACTTGTATGTCATATTTACAATAGCCTTGCCCAACATAACAATATGGTTACTGTTACAGAGCTATGAGCATCCTGCTGCACTTTCATCTCTATCATTTTTTATTTCTACTCTTTTTCACTATTTTTCATGTCTGTCTTTTCCTTCTGTAAGAGAGGCTAGACATATCCCTATTTTATTTCTCTTTGTTTCAGTCTTAGGTTACGTTCTTTGGACGCCAAGTAATTAGGTTGGATCACTTTAGACATGATTTCTGCATTCAAACATGCCCAGAACGTGCAAGGCAGTGCAAACATTTCTCATTTGAAGCTAGCTTCTTTAAACAGCACCTAATTTGCCCAAACAGCCCAAATACCACACTTTTTTTTGTATATTCACACTTAAACTCGCTATTTCAAGTCTTCACTTTCCTGTTTTATTTTGCTATACATACATTTAGGTTGTAGATGTGCTAAGTAGATATCTGAAATTGCTGATGTTAGAGGAAAGTTGATGAAAAGGAACACAAAGATCAGTGCCTTTTGGAAAGAAGACACTAATAACTTTAGTATCTTCAGTTATAGATGGTAGAAACGTGACTTTCTATCTGACAGACTTGATAGCATCCCGTACTTAAAAAAGAAAAAAACACCATGGAACAAAACCCTGGAAAGTATATAAAGCTTAATTAGTTTCATACCTGCTTCATTGCGTTCTCAGTATCTGTGTTAGTTACAGATAGCACAGCACTATGAGTAAAGCTATAACAACAGCCCTGGGTGTTTTGTTGGAAATCAGGTAAGAAAACAGTGCTGTCAGTCTTAAAGAAGTTTCTCACAGGACTGCAGTGTGGGAGCTGAAATGCTGTGTTACTGCCATTTTGAATACTCACTCAGCAAGAACATTTCCAAAATGGCAACCAAAATGCTGTATTTGGTCTCATGGAGCCCAAGGTGCTTAATGTGACAGTATTATAGACTTGTTTGGAGCCTTTTAAGGTTGTAAATGGGGAAATTTTGAAAAAAATACCGTGTCCTTTACATTTAATTGGGCCTTATTAAACTGGGAATGCTTGAGGATGATGTGGATGTAATTAATTTTAAGAGTTTAAATGATGCTATACAGTGTATCTTATGTAACATAAATTATCTAAAGTTTTAATTAGTAAAATTTTACATGTTACACATATTTAAGTGTAGCTGTTGTAGGATTGTGCAGTTATGTAACATCTGAATGCAAGTTGAGTTGGTACATGGGTAAGGATGTTTGGGATCTGCGGTTGTGGAATGCTACTTGGTCCGTGTCTTATGGAGAGCAGTTGTCTGCTGGGTATCTAACTTGATATGGCAACATGTCCTGAATTTTTATTTTTGGAGGGCGGGTTAATATTTAATCATTTTCAACTTTCTTTTCAAGCCAGAGTAGCATCCCCTTGCTGTTCTATGCCTCTCCTCATAATTCCCTTAACATTGTCATTCTTTGTATTTGTTCTTACGCTGTTCCTTTTGCACTGCCTTTTTGTGGGTGATAGTTATTTACTAGAATCTCTTGTTAATGGTCTAGGTGTTTGGCACTTGGGAAGGAGTGAAATGAGAATGAAATCCAGAGGGGAGAGGTGGTGTTGACTGCATAGACAAAAATATTTTGCCTTGTTAAGATGTAACACTGACCACTAGTATCTTCTTAAGTAACTTCCAAAAATCTTCAAATTACCTTCCCTGGTTCACTAATCTTATAGGCATTTGAGCTGTGTATAGCATGAAAAAGTTCATAAGTTCTTTTTCTAGTGAAGACATTTGGGCCTTGGCCATTTAAGTAACTATATGAAGCAAATTAATGGTAATAATCATGTATGCTTCTGAACTTCTTTTGTAGCACAAGATGGGAAAGAAACAGAATGGCAAAGGTAAAAAAGTTGAAGAGGCAGAGCCTGAAGAATTTGTTGTGGAAAAAGTCTTGGACAGACGTGTCGTAAATGGGAAGGTTGAATACTACTTGAAATGGAAAGGATTTACAGAGTAAGGCATTCCCAATGTGTATATCTTTGGATAGTACCTAAAATTTAGTAGGCAGACAAGGTTCTTTGGGAAAATCCAATATCTTATATTAGGCCAACTCAGATACTTGGAAACATTCTTCTTTGCAAGCTTTCGGGTACAGGTACCCTTTGTCAGGCTGAGAAGCATCTGCAGTTGGTCTTTGCTCTTCCTGGATGGAATAATAAGCCAGAGGCTGGTATGGATGTGAGATAGCCAGTCAGTGAAAATGTAAACTGGGGTAGTCTGTGGGTGAGAGATGGGTGGGGAGGGGAATGAATGTAGCTAGTAAATCGTAGAGAGGTGACTGGCTTTCTTGCGTGTACACTAGCCTCTGGCTTCTTTATTATTCAATCCAGGAAGAGCACAGGCTAACTGCAGACACTTCCTCAGCCTGATGAAGGGTACTTATACCTGAAAGCTTGCAAAGAATTTTTCCAAGTATTTGAGTTGGTCCAATAAAAGATATTGGATTTATCCAAAGAACCTTGTGTGCCTTTGTCCTTAGACCAACACGGCTACAACCTATGCCCCTAAAATTTAGTAGGTACTTTTCATTGTCCTTCCTATCAATGTAAGAGTAAATATGACATTATTCTAAATGAAAATGTTATTTAAACATGTAATGAAGAGGGATGTACTGCACGCTGAAGTCCCTTCTGATATTCGTTACACTTGTGCAAGCACTAGCACTTTAAAAGTCTTTTGACAGATGTTCATTTTAAGGCATGGTGGGATCTAAGCTGTGATTCCAATAAACATGCCGACTGCCTTGCCAGCAGGGGTTTTTATAGGTCCCTGTGAGCTGGGACATGTAAAGACCCCTTATGCCATTAAGCTGGGGAGCACACATGGTTTTCTAGGTCCTGGGGTCCCCAACGTGTTTGCTCCCTCCCCCAATAAAGGAGGGGGGTTGGAGGGGCAGGGTTAGTAGCAGTGGGGAGCCCAGTGCTCCTAACCACTTGCTCTGCCCAGGTCTCAGCCAGGGCAGGAGCCAAAATCCCATAGAGCCCAGCCTGGACCAGCCCCTGCTGGTCATCAGGGCAGGGGCCAGACTTCCACAGAGGCTAGGCCAGGCTTTGTGGGAGTTTGGCTCCTATGTGATTAGGGCAGGGGTGAAATACCTGTGCAGCCTGGCCTGGCCCAGCACCTGCATGATTAGGGCAGGGACCAAACTCCTGTGGAGGCCAGACTGGGCTCTGCATGAGTTTGTCCTCTGCCCCAGGTGGGACCTGGGCAGAGCAAGCGGCCAGCAGCACCAGGCTCCCTATTGCTACTAGCCCTGCCCTCCAACCCGTCTGTGTGATTGGGGCTGGGACCAAACTCCCACAGAGCCTGACCCAGCCTGGCCCCTCTATCTTTGGGGCAGGGGCAAAGCTCCTGTGGAGCCTGGCCTCTGTGTGACTGGGGCCTGAACCAAGCTCCCAGGGAGCCTGACGTAGCCTGGCCCCTGCCTCATCAGGGAAGGCTTCTGCAGAGCTTGGCCTCTGCCCCATCTGGGACCTGGGCAGAGCGAGGGCGCCAGCAGCGCACTGGGCTCCCAGCCACTACAAGCCCTGCCCCTCCAACCCTTGCTCCCAGCACAGTCCCAGCTCCTACAACAGCCACTTTGTGTGTGTACATGGGTATAAAGGTATGTTTTATTGCTTTATGGATCCTTTTTATATTATTAAATTGTCTGCCCCTCACACCTCATTTTCGTGTGATCCTGAAAATTTCAATGAATAAGAATGAAATGTTTAAACATAAATGTCAATTTTAACCATCAAAATTTTTTAAAAAATCTAATGCTGCCAAGTCTCTATATCTCTCTCTATATATCTATAGATAATGGGGGGGGGTGTAATAACCTGTGAATCCCTACAGAAGACTTGCAAAATGTCACCACTTGAGAGCAGATCATGCTTTAGCTGGAAATAAAACAATTTGTTGTATATACCTGGTCTAGCTTTTGAACATACACAGTTCTGTGCACATTCACATTATCTCAAGAAGTCATATTATGACTTAATTCTATTTCCTAGAGCAGGGGTTGGCAGTGTTTTTGGGCAGAGTGCAAAAAGCACCGACAACCTTGACTTATAAGATGTTGGCGTGCCAGGGCAGATCGGAGGGAAGCCACAAGGGGCCCAATCCTTGTCATGGCAACATAGCCCCAGCCCCTCCCTACTCTGCCATCTGCTCCAAGGCACACATGCTAAGCAAAATTTCATAGATGCATAGACATTAGGGCTGGAAGGGACCTCAGAAGATCATTGAGTCCAGCCCCCTGCCCCAGGGGCAGGAAGTCAGCTGGGGTCACAGGATCCCAGCAAGATAAATGTCTAATTGACGAGAATCCAGAGTAAGTGCTTGCACCACCTCTAGCAGCAGTCAGTTCCAGGTCTTAGGTCTGTTCCAGGTCTTCACATGCCATGCTCTGGCACCCATGCCAGGGGTTGCCTACTAGGGCTGTGCAAAGCTTCAGTCCCCAATTCAATTCGGCAGAGATTCAGCCCAATTCAGTGGCCGAATCTCCAAATTGAATCAGGAGATGCTTTAATCTCTCCGAATTGAATTGGAACTCTCTGAATTGATTCGGAGAGATTCAGAAAGATTCGGCGATATAGACACAGCTTTAAATGTTTTTTTTACATGCCTCAGTGTACCAAGCGGCTTGTGAATGCTGCAATGGTGGAGTGTCCCACAAGAGCATAGGGGGCTCCCCAGCACACTCGATAGCAGACCCAGAAGTGGACCCAGAAGCATTTCCAGATCCACCGGGGAGCACACTGGCACCACCACCTCCACCCCCCCAGGCTTGGTGACTGGTGCCTCCTGGGTCTGGAGGGGCGCCCGGGGGGGGGTGGGGGGCCGCTGCACACTTGGCAGTGGACCAGAAGTAATTCCGGTCCACTTCTGGGTTCACTGCCAAGCACAAGGGGGGGGGGGGCTGCGCTCCTGTGAGATGCTCCATCCACCCCAGCATGGCAGCATTCGTGAGCCATACCTGGTACCTCGAAGTATGTAGAAAAAACCCACTTAAAGCTGTGTCTGTGGCCAAATCACTGATTCTCCAAATCGGCATTGAATCTTCTGATTCAGATTCAGCTGAGTCAAATTGGGGACAGTGATCCAAATCCACTAATCAAATCACTGTCCCCAATTTGGGCCGAATCGAATAGAGCCCATTTCGCACACCCCTATTGCCTACCCCTCTTCTAGAGTTTATATCATGTCAAAATGTATGGAACGGTAACCTGTGTAGTCTGAATATTTACAGGACCTGCCTGATGATAGGAAAGCATCTTTCAGTAACTGGAAATGTCTTGGGGATTCAGTCTTTGGGTGGTGTTCAGTGCTGTTTAAGCAGTTGGTGTCTAGGGACTTCTGAGTTGGCACTTAACTGGTGGGGAGAAGCAGTTAATACACTTGGAAGTTAAGTAACAGAGCTGAGCATACACATAGTTACCTAATTTGTTTGCATGGTTTTATGTCCAGGTTTTTCCAAGGTGTTTAAGTAAAAGTGAACATATTTAAATGCAGTAGCCAGGGTTTTTTTTTAAAGCCTTCAGTCATCTTATAGGAGCAAATATGGCTGCTTGATTTGTATCTTCAGTTTGAACTGCAGTTGGTCCATTGCAGTAATGGAGTCTTTCATGAACTTTCATGTACGTTTCATACTTTCATCTGTTTCAGTGCTGACAACACATGGGAACCTGAAGAAAACTTAGATTGTCCAGAGTTAATTGAAGCTTTTCTAAACTCTCAGAAAGCTGGTAAAGAAAAAACTGATGGTGCCAAAAGAAAATCTTTATCAGATAGTGAGTCTGACGACAGTAAATCAAAGAAAAAAAGGGATTCTGTAAGTATATGTTCTTGCGCTAAATATATTTTTCTTTATATTTTTTAAGGCGCCAGGTCAGAGCAGTAGATCAGTAAGTCTTCGTTGCCTACAAGGAACAACATTGGTTTAGAATGATTAGTTAAAAACAGAATAAGAAAACACCAGGAACCATGTGATGTGTAGTGTTTAACAAGCGTAATATTGGCAAAAGAAAAGGCTCAGTCTTTTTGGATGTGTCAACACAGTGAGGTAAAGGAAGTCAGTTCGCATCGTTCATTTAGTCTTTTCACAGGTCTACAAAAGCTAAATAATTATGGATCAAAAATGGCTTGGAAGATAAAATGAAAAGGGGGTTAAATGATCAATTTGCATCGTGACAGAAAGTTAACAGTGGGGAATCCCAAAGTTCTAAACTAAGGTATCATGCTTTGAAACAAATGGTAGGATTGCAAAAATTGCAGATTATGCAGGTCATTTAGTTCATTCAGTCAGGTCCAGCAAGATCTAAACAGTTCAGGTAAATGGACAGCATGGCAGCAGTAAGTGAAGTGTTGATGTATGCAAAATAGGGTATTTGTAGTGGCTGGAGAAATTAAAATCCCTACAAACTTTTAAATTGGATGTAGTGATTCAGAAAAGGACTTGGGTGTCATTGTAGACAGCTCAGTAGAGACGTACAGCTGTTTTCAGAAAGCTAAGAAGTTCTGACAGGAGTGGCCACAGCATCAGGTAGGGTAGAAAGCAGAGCCACAGATCAGGCCCAGGGAAGGGAGAAGAAGGCAGAGCAGCAGATTGGATGGAGAAAAGGAATCAGTGGCACTTAAGGGCTAGCTTGTGGCACACCTGCCTTAAAGGTTTGCCCCCATTTCTCTTAAGACATAAGGACCAGGTGATGGGTGATATAAAGAATATTATAATGACTGCATAGTTCTGTCGTGTGGTCGGTTCTGCAGCATTACAACGTTCAGAAAAGGGTAGCAGGAATAATCAGAATTGAGTGCCTTGGGTTTAATTGGTTTCAGGTTTGTATCTTGCTTTCTGTGAACAAATGGTTTCTAGCTCAAAAAAAATTTAGTGATGCTCCTAAATTCAGGAAATAGTTGCCAATGACTTTGCCCACTGGTAAGTGGCTGAACTAAGGAGCTGAGATGTGAAAGTCATGGAACGTTGCATTTACCATAGAAAGATGCTACTTGCTTTATTTACATGTTTTTTCAAGGCAAATGTTTGTAATAAATACTTTTCTTTACTAAATAACACTCATGAAATAGTTTGTCTGATGTGCAGCCATGAGAGAAGAAATTTTGGCGTGATCTAATCTTTAATTCAGCACATTAAGCAAGTGTCATTTAGCATAAACTTTAAACTAAATAGGACTTTTTTTAATAGGTTGATAAACCAAGAGGGTTTGCAAGGGGTCTTGATCCTGAACGAATAATTGGAGCAACAGATAGCAGTGGAGAACTTATGTTTCTTATGAAGTGGTAAGTGATTTAAAGCTGTGATTCGAAGTGTTTAAGCTAGTGAAATAGCAATCACTCTTGGAATGAAATATGAACATTAATAGTATATTTTAGTTTTTTTGTGTAGTTTTTTTGTTTGCTTTGTTTTGATAGTAATATGGTTGTTTGCTATATGGAATACTTACTCTAAATGTGACTAAAGCTGCATTTGAGAGGACCTGTCCTGAACAAATAATAAAAATAAAATTGACCAATGAAATATTAGTAATAAAAAATAGACCAGGATATACTGTATATGTGTGGGGAGGAGAGGATGTGTGTATAGGAATGATAGCTTTTTATAACTTCTATGGTAAAGACTTTGCGGAATGACCAAAAAAATACTAGTCTATCACTTGGCATGTTGAGACCATTAAAGATTGGTTCTTTAGAAGGTTCTTCCTTTTCATTTTACTCTAAAGTCTTAGATAGAACTATTCCAAGTGTTACATTCATACTATAAAATGCTGAAACAGATCATTCTACAATAATAAAATGGAAGAAATGAAGTTCTAATCTTTCTTTTAGTTATTCTACTTTGTAGCTAGTTACTTCATAACTTATTACAGATAGCAAACATGTATGCAAACTTTGTAGGTACATAACAGGCATGTAAAATCAACATAAGCTTTAAAAGCACAAGAGTCGGAACCACTTCAGTCTTGCATGTTTGGTTTTGTTGTCCTTCACCCCTATTGACCTGCTTGGCTGCAGTCTGGAAGGTAGTTTCACTACATTACATTTAAGTTGCATTGAGTTGATATGTTAAGGTCATTCTGTGCAAGTCTGGCAGTCAAAGTCTGATGCTGCCTGAAGTTTAATCATATAATTAAAGAATAATACATTGTCAAATGCATAAAGTACATTGTTGTGTAGTCATTTTTTCTCCATATATGTTCTCTTTTCTGTTTGAGATGCTTTTTAGGAAATTGTTTCTGTAAAACACCAAGTTGGTAGAGAATGGTGACAATGTTTAATTAAATTAATGACTCAAAATTATTAACTAGTTAATATCCTTTTAAGTGTTTGAGCTGTAGAAGGAAAGCTGCTGAATTTAAATTTGTGGCTTTACTTTCTGACATCCATTAATTCTTATTATAATACCAAGTTCAAGTACATCTTTTCTAGTACTTGTCAACTATTTTATAAAAGTCAGGATTTTTTTTTCCCTTTCTATAATAGGAAAGACTCGGATGAGGCAGATTTGGTACTGGCCAAAGAAGCCAATGTGAAGTGTCCTCAGATTGTAATCGCTTTTTATGAAGAACGGCTAACTTGGCATTCATGTCCGGAAGATGAAGCACAATAATTGTTTGCATTGCTTTTTTATATATATGAATATTGAAACCTGATTTTGATTTTATTTGATTTATTAGCAATGTGAGAAGCATACATTCTAATGAAAATCAAGTTTGATATTTTTTGGAGTAGTGTGTTTTGCATCAACAGCAAGTAAATAAAGGCTTTCTGCAACTTCATTTATCACAGGAGAGCATTTGATACTACTACTTCCTCCACATTAGGTAACAGCTTTTATAAACCTTCATACACCTCCATAGTTATTACTGAGTCATAACAAATGTTTAAACAAAAACTTACCAATGTTTTGTAGTCTTCTATATTATTGATGTGCATGTATCTTCTTTATCTCTAGCTAGCCCCTTTAAACTTGTAGAACCATTCTTTTTAGTATTTGGGATTACTTGGTCTGGAAGAGGCCAGATAAAAACTAACTTTGTAGTAATTTGAATGTTATCAGACTGTATATTGTTTACTTTATTGTAAATACTGGTGAACAGTGGTCAATAAAATAGTTTTATATTCTTCCTTTATACTGACAGGAACTGACTTTTTTGGAACTGGTATAATTAGGGACCTACCTAATTTGTAGGTGCTGTTTCCTGATTTTGCAGGCAGAATGTGTGCCCGGGCAGCCATTTTACTGGCAGAGCATGGTGGCCCCCCCTCAATATCCCTGATTGGCTGAGGAGCCCTGGTGGCTCTGCCCTTTGCCACTGATTAGCTGTGAGGGCTGTGTCATGCTGCCCTGCCCTTGTTGCCAATAGGTGGATGGGTGGGGCCATATGACAGACAGCCATTGCAGCCAATGGGGGAGGGAAGGCAGCCATCTTGTGGGCAGTCCTTCAGCTAAGCAGTCCAACCTCCTTCTTCTCCACCCCAGTAGACTTCCACAGTGTGCTGAGGACTGTTGGCTCCCTCTGGGGAGCCAGTGATTTATTTTTGGTAATGTTTTTTTTCCCCCCCCCCCATGGGCATTGCCCAGATTTTGTGAAATCTGTGAAACTGCGAATTCGGTAGGTCCCTAGGTATAATGTTCTTGAACTTACAGCAAAAGTTAGTGTTTCAGTGCATAAAAGTGTCAGAGAATAGACTTTTATTCCTTTTTCTTTTTAAACAAATGCTGAGTATTGTGGAGGTGTAGTGTTTCATATATAATCAAGTGTTTTGCTGAGCAAGAGACCAAGTCCTGAAATGAGAAACTAAGGGGGGAGGGGTGGTTAGAGCTGGATAATGGTTTTTCTCACTTTCAAAGGTTGCCATCCTTTTTCCAACTCCTTTCTCCTGTTTCAGCACTCTTCTACCATATTTTCAGTCATCTATATTCAGTGTATTCAAGCCCCACCTACATGTGTTCTCTGAAGAACCACTCTGTATGCACATCAGTATATTCCTGCTACTTCCTTTTTGGTCCCTTTCCACATTTACCTGTTTCTTATACCAGGCTGTCTCCTGAAAGCACAAGTAGTCATTAAGCTTCCCTGAGCCAGCTTGGTTTCTCTCTCTGTATGGGAACAGTGGGAAATAGTGGTCATTCTTGTCTGTGTGCGCCTCCTCACTGGCTAAAGGGGAAAGTTTTCATGTATTCTTTGGACCAAAGGTAACCTTTGTTTGGCTTTCACCTTACTGAGGAAAAATGGGAAACAGTAGCCATTTTGAAAGCGCAGGCTTTTTTTGCTTTATGTACTTGGAAACTTCTAGTTTTTGCTGGAGTAAAATTATGAAAGAGATTTTTTTATTGATTTTAAGCAAAAGGCTATTTGTACCAAACTCCTTACCATTTTGATATAGACCATAGGTGAAAATGTACTATAGATTGGTTTTAGACAGGTTGAATTTCAAATCCTTTCTCCTCCTTATGAAAAAATAAAGAGCTACACAGAATATAAATTAGTAAAACTATAACATCATAGCAAAATGCCACCTGTGCCGCTTGTATTATGATATCCCAAATCAAACCTTTTGATTAAGTTTCAACCATAATTTATGTGAAATAATTACCAGGACATTGAAACAAGGCCCAGAATAACTTAAAAGACTTCAGGCATTATACTGCAGAGAAGGATCCTGGTGATACAGTGGGCTGTAAGCTGAACATGAGCCAACTGTGTGCTGTTTTGTGCACTAAAAAAGCAGCAGCCAACAGCATACTGGTTTGTACTAAAGGGTACTGCTTGCAAGTCAAGGGAAGGGATTCTTCCCCTCTAGCATTGGTGAGGCCTCACCTGGAGTACAGCTTCTAGTTTTGGGCTACTGTTGACAGATAGGAAAAGTGTTCAGTGCAGAGCAATAAAAAAAATGATCAGAAACCAGGAAGGATGACTTATGCGGAAAGGCTAAAAGTACTAAGGTTATTTAGTCTGGAGAAGAGAAGACAAATGGGATTTGATAATTAGAGGATTAGAGATGGGCTTTTCTCTGTAGGCATAGAGGACAGGACTAGGAGCAGTGGCTTCACACTGGAGCAAGGAAAATTTAGGTTGGAGATTAGGAGAAACTTTCTGACTATAAGGGAGGTCAAGGATTGGAACAGGATATGTAGAGAAATTGTGGAATCTGTGTTCTTAAACATTTTCAGGAGCAAGTTGGACAGATGTTTAGCTCCAGGGTTTTAATTTGAGACAATCCTGCTTTGAGGTAGAGGTTGGACTAAATGACCTTGCAAGGTCCTTTCCAACCCTGCCTACCTATGATCCTCAACTATCTTCATTTGGAAATACCTCGGAAAAGAAACAAGTCTTTATGGTATGCATACCACTAGTGGTAGGCAGACAACCTGTCAGTGTTAACAGATTTATTATAATTACTTTATATGATGAAAAATGGCTGGAGGTAGTTATGGTTGTATTGTTTTAAATTGGTGGTGTACAGTCTGTCAGTTTGGGAACCACTGGAATATTATGAAAGTCACTAAATGGGTTCTGATGAATTAAGTATGAAAAGAACCAAATGTGTGTTTAAAGGGGGTTTTTTTGGATTTGTTTTTGTTCTCTTACGTAGGTGGTCACACAGGTGTTTTTCTTTTTATTTATTTTTTTAATAAAAAAAAAATAAAATAAGCCTGGACTTAATTCTAACTTTAGGAGTTAGGAGGCATTTACATCAGTGTACACATAGTTTGTTAACATTTAAATAAAACTTAATATCGCTGTGGTTATGCTAATCCTTTAAATTGTATTTCTATTCTGTAATATGCTTCCATGCAAATCTTTAGCACTTTGTCGTTTTTTCATTTGTTTTTGTTCCTTCTGTCACAGATGGTTGAGATCCTGCTGGTGGAGACTTGCCTGACTGCTCTGAGGGGATCCATTCACTGAATCCCATGTGATCATACAATGCTGTGTCTGGGGAAAGTTTAGGTTCTTTCCTGGTTCTGGGCAGTGGGGGGCCCCTTGCTCTTATTTGCACTAGTTTCAGAATATAGCCATCTGCCCTAGCCCTGATTGGGCCTCTTGCCCATTTTCAAGATTCCTGGCAGGATGCAAGTGTTTTGCTTCACTGTTTTGGTCCTTACCTGATTGCCTTAATGTGGGGGTGTCAGACTAACCCCAGTCCTCCAGGCTGCTCCCACTGTGGTTATGTCCAGATGTAGCCTATGAAGAACCTTGTGGATTAGATCTGGACCACAGACCAGATACAGACATGGCAGCAGTGCAATGTCCAGATGTTAACACAGCTGTCAGTGACCCCTTGCTGCTGACATGCATCTCCAACGGGGCTTCATAGCCCAGACTTCAGTGGCAGGCCCTGCCTCTGAATTTCCTGCTCCTCTGGGGCCAGATGAATTCCCACACCTCAGATGACATAGGTCTGCAGGCCAAATCTGGCTCTCAGGTCACATGTTTGACATGTCTTATTGTTTAACACACACTCTCTCTCTCTCTCTCTCTCTCTCTCTCTCTGAAATACCAAATATAAGAAGTAAAGATCTAGGCAAAAATAGTAAACTTACATGCATTTCCCTGCCTCAGTTTCATCACTGTTTTGGAGGGTTCCCTAGGCTGAGTTCAGGCTTCTCATGTTCCGGATCCTTCTGTAGGTCACGGTTTGTCTTTGGACCAGGGAGAATATCCATCATAGCTCACCACCTCTGACCTTGACACTGTTGGACTGGTATTAAAATCTAGTCAAATATTTAATTATCAAGCAAGCTGCTTTGACTTAAAATAACTGTTATTTTTTTGTTTTACAATCCTTCCTAGCAAAATATTGATCCTCGCTGGTCAGTAACCATTACAATGGGTGGATTTGATTCTATGCCGAGCTTTCCTATTAAATTACATATTATTATTTCTACCCAGGAAGACATGCTGCCCATAATTTAAGCAGTTACACAATTCAACAAATATATGTTTATTCATTCTTAATTCTATTTTTTATATTTTATGATTGATCAGTAGACCATGATAACTGACATAGGATCATAGGGAATATAGAACTGGAAGAGACTTCCTGAGGTCATTAGTCTAGTTTCCTGCTCAGAGCAGGATGACTGTAAATTAAACCATCCTGGTCAAGTGTCTATCTTGCCAACTTGAAAATTTTGCAACTTCCCAAGGTAGCCCGTTAAAGTGTTTGGGATAAAATTCCTTAGATCCCATTGTACGTCTGCTGGCACTTGAAGAATCCAACACTGGGGAGCAGCTCCCTCATACTGGGTTGTCCACATGCCCTTTAAACTTGCTTGCATATGGGGACTTAGGTTAAGGAAGAGATTTCCTGATCCCAGGTTCCCCATACACCCAGACTTCTAAAACGCACACATGCAGCCCAGTTGCACACATCCCCTCTAAACTGCAGCACATGAGGATCTCCATATCTGGGAAGCAGCTCCTCCTGTGCCCTGAACACCAGGAACTAAGTGGGTGTATGGGAGAGCAGTTCCCTGCATGCCCTTTAAATGAAGTGATTTGCCACACATTAAAATTATTGTGAGGTGCTTCCACATCAGAAAGTAGTTGCTGATTTTAGTAGGGAACTTTTTTGAAGCAGATCTGCCTAACTGCCATCAAAAGTAAACTTGCTGATCAGCAAGCACTTAATGTGACCCAGCCATTCCTTAATAATAAATACAAACCCTCTCAACAGATCTTTACTGCCACAACAATCAACATTCTCCACAGCAAAACCATGGATCATGTGTGTGTCTGTCCCAGAATGTGGTATACCTTATTCAGTGCACTAAATGATCACGTGGCGACTTATGTGGGCAAAAACAGACAAAAACTATGCACTAGACTCATCAAAAAAGATAGATGGAGACACTAGAACACAGGTAGGAGAACATTTTTCACAGAGGATTTACTTCCTGTTTGACTTCACGGATCTTGTGTTCAATCCAACATAGGAATAGAGATTCATTGGTCTGTTGGATACTAAGTACCAGAGACTTAACATAGACAATGACTTCATGGTTCATTATAGTCTGCCTGATACTTGCTAACCTCTGCACTTCTGAATGACCCTCCTGGGCGATCTTTTACACAGCTTTTTTGTTCTATTTGCTACTTAGCTCGGCTTCTCTTGCAGAGGC